CACAAACATTGTGTCCTCCTTAAAGTGGACCTCCAATCAGATGGAGGGAGTAAATAAAGCAGCAAGCTTTGGGACGGCCTCCTCTCTCTCCGGCAGAAACAGGAAATGCCGTAACTGTATGTAACAACGGTTTCAAATCAGCATCTCTTAGACAAAAAATTTAAATTAATAACTCAAATAAAACTCCAAACATCTTTCATTGTGTTTCAAAGCTCTTTTAGTTTTAAACCTGATGTTTATAAGCAAATATATGTAAATATACACAACTTTATAATAAAATGCACACATTTACCTTTTTCTAGACTAAACACAGGTATGATCCTAAGTTAAAACATATGAGGTTATTATCATCGCAGTTTATCAGTGGATGTTTGCTGGAACTACTTGTAAACAGCGTGTTTCCTGACGGACACACACAGCGTGACTCCGGTCAGGTAGAGACCGGTCTCAAGTCAGCACCGCTGCAGACTCGCTGTTTGAGGGCTTGATAGCCCACTCCCCCTTCCACACCGCTCCACACTCGTTGGTTTGGAACAGCCCTCAATATGGTGGACCCTCCGCGTGAACGCGCAAACGGAGGTGTAGGGTGTGGTTTGGGAATGGGCCTAAGAAAGGATGAACAGCAGCAAGAGTTTCCACACAGACCAATCGATAGCGTAGTGGACTTCGCCCTCATGGGGTTCATATAGAGAGGAAAGGATTGATGCAGACAGACCAGCTTAACACACACAGTCAAATGTTATTTTTAAGAGCTTTTTTATGCCTGTGGTATTCGATAATTCATCAATGCATCCCCTGTAGTCAAATCAATAAATAAATACATTTGACATACATCATGCAGGCTCTCACCGCTGATGGTTTATTCCACCTTTCACCTTCCCTCCTGGGAGTAAGTATATCGGCATAACTGAGATGAGATTTGTGAGATTTCCAATGAATCTTTAATGTGCAAAGATGTTTCATTTCCCTCCAGTGACGACTCCTCTGCACTCAAGTTCAAGTGAAGTGCAATTACTTTATTTTCTCCCTGGGGCCAAGAACACATACAATACGTCTTTATTTATTTCCCGTATCATATTGACACAACACGTTTTTATCATTTTTTCTCCACCTACTGCAGCAGCACTTAGGCTGTAAAAGATTCTCGCTGTCTTCCTCTGTTAGGAGAACCTGTTTGTAAAATGGACAAAGATACTCTTCTATCCCGAGGGATGTTGCTAATTTTGGAGCGTTGCAGGCAAAAGAAAACAAGCCGTCTCCTACATGAAAGGCTTCATGAATATTTATAAGTGATGATCACAGTGGACTATTATAATCATTACACCTCTCTTCATGCGAGAAATGTAGAGCCTGCACACTTGCAGAGCTCCAAACAAGAGATTTCTTAAACCTCGGCCTTGATGCGCTGCTTCATTTATTTAGGTAAATAAGCAGAAAAAGGATTATGTTCTGACTCCATGAATAACTGTGAAGATGCCTGCCATTTTGCAGCATATTTCATCATCATCTGTGACGTTTAAATGAACATTTTGAGAAATGCTCTGAGAGCAGTTTGCCACATTTTTCGAGCTCTGTAAAATTGTTGAATTCATTAGTGACGGGAATTGATTACATTTTATTTTTAATATTGCTTTTATTGAATCTGCTTATTTGTGGATTCCCTTATTGATTTCTGATCCATTTCCTGAATGGGGAAAAGGTGGGCCTACAAAGGCTTTGAGCGTCAGTGCAGCTGAGGCAAAACACATTTGAATGTTTTTAAAAATGTACTGTTTAACAATGAAATTACAGACATTATAAAACTAACACATGAAGCCAAGTTATAGACTGTTTCTACCTCTCTGCAATTACTCCTTCTTGCAAGTTTCCAGTTTTACGCCATGGCGTCTGAGTTTTTGCGATAAGTGTGAGAAAATCATGCTGGTAATGATAAAAGGAATTGACAACATCCAAGGCATAATTTCTCAATGTCATTTGGAATGGAAGGATTTTAAGTATACCTCTATATTACAGACCGAGTTGAACACTAAGAAGAGTATAATGTTAGCTTTGATAAAGCCTTTTCTCTGCTTAGATAAACATTGTAATGTAATGAGTGTCCTGCTTTGCCAACTTAAGATGTTTTTAAATCAGCCTTGGCCCTGTGGTTTCTACAGCACACGAACATCCCATACCCCTCAATTTAAAAACACTGTGGTTGATTTTGTGTGGGCCTTTCCTGACATCTAGTGGACAAGAGTGAATGTGTCATTTACTTTGAAATTCTCTTTGGAGAGTTTTGTGCATTGAGGTGTTTTATACACCAGTGTGATTCATTAAAACACCTGCTCTGGCTTTCACATGTCGCTCTTTCTGCCCACTTTAATCTCTAGTTTCCAAATAGAAGTTTGCCTACAAAAACAAAAAAAGAACAAAATCTGACCACAAGCGATCGCTGTCTGTCATATTTTCCTTAAGGACAGAAATATATTTGCAACATTTATGTCAATATTATCACTGTGTAATAATTTACAAACTCGTCTTCACTGTGCTGGGAGATTCTGACTCCTGAAAATACACTTCCGAAATGTTTCCTAATTCCAGCTTGTTTGTTTAAAGAAAAGATTGCAGTATTTTCTGGAGGAGAAGCCTCCTTCTCAGACATTCTTTTAACAATAAATACTTCAGGTCTTACAACTTGTCTTAGATAATTATCCAGTGTATTACCTATTTGTTTCTGTTCAAGCATTAGGTTCAAGAAAATCACACCAAAGGGTCCTCAGCAGATGGAGTTGCTCGGTTGTCATGGAGCTGTAGATGTTTAAATAAAACAAACACTTGTTGTCCTTCGTGAATGTAAAGCTCCAAACCGGCTATTGAATGGACCATGTGGTGAGATTGCATTATGTTTCCAAGTTCACAGATTAACTCGTTTTTTATATATTACACTGTATATTAATTATTTGTTTCTTTTTTTACCAATGCCTAAATTACTGACTGGGTTCTGATTCAGCTCCACACAGGAAGGACACAGCTCAGGAAACACCAACAAACACAGTCAAATGGACAGTGAGTATATATTATGCACATATTCACTAGACTTACTGACGTTAAGATGATCCACATATGAACTTGTATTGTTTATTTAAAGTATAGGGACATCATGGATAGGGACAAAACACCTCCTGACCTCGTCCAGTTCACTCTGGTTACCATGAACTTTGGATGTGGTGACGTTGGAACTGTGTAAAAAGTCAAATCCACACATCAAGTCATCCAAAAAAGGTCACGCGCGTTACTGATCAAGAGCCAAGAGCCTTTTCTCTCACTCTTAAAAACAATATTTCTGCTTTTCATCAGGAGTTTGAATATTAGGTTGAATTTACATACATTAACATTGAAATGTATTGCTAAATTTATATTCTGTTCAACATATTGTCACCATAGCTGGTCAATTTGCTGATCTTTTTTTAATACATTTTTTTTAACAATGTATGTTGTGCAACCATTTAATAGCAATAATAGGAGAATGCTAATGTTAAGATATCCTTAATGCACACTTCATGAATAGGTTTAATCAATTCAAGATAGTTTGATGAATATGACTTAATGAGCCAAACTTAAAGAAAATATCAATAATTTTAGGATAAGAATATAAACATTTTCTGACATGACTGTTGAACTGCCATGACATGCCACGACATGAACTGTCAACAGTTCAACACCGCGGCTTTAAACTATCACAGGTCAGTCACACGTGTAGTTTGGGTAATTTGTTCCACATCAAATAAAAAAGAAATTCATTCTTGCATCATAAACTTTCTCGATATCTTGTGATTGGCTCCCCAAAATCGAACCACGCTAATGTTGATTGACAGCAAACCAAGACCCTCCTTTTTTAGGCGGTCTCTGTTCGGTTGTTTGAGCTGTTGTGTCTGTGCTTTGATAAAAACTTGGCAGGAATACAACAGTGACGCAACATAGCCAAACTCGGCAAGCGTCCAGGTTAAGGAACACACTCACAAAGTGAACATGTGCACTTCAGATATAAAATATCTGTCTCTATAGCTACACCACCTACTCACTGCAGAGAAAGGTCTGCCAGCCTCAATGTGTAGGTATGATGAACCCTATACACTTCACTAACTTAAGAGATCTCATTATTTCTCACTAATTCTCTATCACACTGCCAGTCTCCTAAATCGTTCAGTATCCTGCTGAGCATATGAATTGATTAACAACCTTTTTTCAATTTCAGGGATTTATAAGTTGTAAATGTGTCTGTTATTAAAGGTACATTTAATGTTTTTTTTATATAAATATAGGTTAGTAGCCATTGAAACAACTATTGAGTTGCCAGGTAAATTGAAAATACTTGTTTTTTGTAATCAATCAATGACTTATATCAGGGGTCGGCAACCCCTGGCACGCGTGCCAGCATTGGCACGCGGCACCGTAACCAGTGGCACACTAGGAATAAGTGGAATAAGTGTGCAAAAATATTTAAATTGTATTTTCGGATCCTGAATGAGACCGCCGCCAGAGCGCGTCTCCCCGTTACCTGTAGAAGGAAGCCATGCACGCAACGCAGCCCCGTTCTGCGCTGGCAGCTCTGGGGGAAAAACGCTTTTGACCGTTGGTGCTCAATGCTCATCCTAATTTTCGCCCTTGATGTAACAACATGAATAATTAAGTAAAGGTAACACCCTTTTCACCCCGGTTACACTTTTCATTTTCCCTGTACGATGGGTGCTGTAAGTGATGAAAGTGGGGGATGTTGGCTTATCTGGCGCTCGCAGCCAAAGTGCGAGTGAGCGTGGGAGCGAGGTACCGGTGTTGTGCCGTAGGTTGAAGGCTTGCCGTAGATTGAAGCCTGTTCTTGGGGACGCGCAAAGGTGACGTCATCGCCTGTATTGACAATCGCCTAGTTTTCTAAGCTTTTTTCTCTCTTTTGAATGATATATTTCCCATCAGATTAAACAGAAAACGGCTGAATAAATAATGTGCATACAATTGTGAGGTGGCTCGTTTTAAGGACACAATCTTCGTATTGGAACAAACTTTCATTTTTAAGTGTAGTCCCACTCTGTTATGTTCCTACAGAACAGGCAATGAAAGGATAAGATGTCATTTGTCAGTATAGTCCTATTTCTTAAAACCTTCTCTGTTGTTTAAGTGTCTGATACTTGATAACCACAAATAGTAAGCAATGATATAAAAGTAATGATATAACATATATGATAATGTCAGACACTGTATTATTTTCAATCAAGCCTAAAAGATAATTTGTTCAAACTGGCTTCACTCGCTTTAATTGCTCCTTTGAATGTCATTTTCCTCTGTGGTTTCCTACTCAGCGCATTTTTGTATTCTAATGCCACTCACATTTCATTTTTTATTTTATTTTAAAGTGACATTGAATGTTTTCAAAGGTACCCTAAAATAAAGTGTGTTATTGATCTTATAAAGTGTATTATTGATCTTATCTTGTGGCTGCCGGATTTGGAACCCCCCCCCCCTATATCTTTGTCCAGGATAGTCACAACATCACCAAAATCACACTGGTGTTTGCTGTTCCCCTCTAGTTTGTGCTCACAAAAGCATTTTACTCTGGGCCCAACAGGTGAAAAACTAAAGAAGGGCTTCCAAATCCGGCAGCTACAACAAAGCGAGTGAAGCTAGTTTGAACAAATGATCTTTTAGGCTTGATTGAAATCAACACAGTGTCTGACATTATCATATATGTTATATCATTACTGTTATATCATTGCTTATTATTCGTGGTTATCAAGTATCAGACACTTAAACAACAGAGAAGGTTTTAAGAAATAGGACTATACTGACAAATGACATCTTATCCTTTCATTGTCTGTTCTGTAGGAAGGAGGAACATAACAGAGTGGGACTGCACTTAAAAACTGAAGTTTGTACCAATACGAAGATTGTGTCCTTAAAACGAGCCACCTCGCAATTGTATGCACATTATTTATTCAGCCTTTTGCTGTTTAATCTGATGGGAAATATATCATTCAAAAGAGAGAAAAAAGCTTGTAAAACTAGGCGAACGCTCAATACAGGCGATGACGTCACCTTTGAACAGGGCTTCAATTTACAGCAAGCCTTCAACCTACGGCACAACACCGGCGCTGTTGTTATTAACAACTGGGGGCTGCGCTAACGGATATAAGAAGAAGATGTTTTTACAACAAATGTGGAGGGGATCCCTCTCCTGACAGACTGAGAGTCTGATAACTACAGCTCAGTGAGGTAAAGGACTCTCTCAGTATTTAGATAGTTAACTTTAGTCTAAGTTATCATATTCATAGTGGGTCTCAAACGGTTTGATCACAATTTATGTAAATATTTCCAAGGCACTCCTTTATAATGATTGGGATAAACTGGTTTGAAATAATTTCAATGTATACTAGGACAGTAAACCAAACATATCATTTGAAACTGGAGAAATAAAAATGTGCATTACTAAATAAATGTTAACTAGGTAAAATAAGATATGAATGAACAACACAAATAAAATAAGTTACATTTATTTGTTATTGGCTATGGTAGGTTATTGGTTATGTTCACATACTTATTTGATTATTAAAATGTAAACCGATCTTTTTCATATGGGTGTTTAGAGTTGTGTCCCCTAGATCTAGTCTCTAGTAATTGTGTGCTCAAAGTGCACCAGATTGAAGCATTTTACTTTAAAATGTTCAAACATTTATTCCCGGGTACAGCCCCACCTAGTGTCAGCAGAAAGTATTACAAATAATGATTACAACAAAATGCAAAAGATAAATAAAAAAATATATAAAATATATTTTTGGATCATGTTTAATCATCTGATTCGTCTGTACATTGCTGTTTTAGTCTGTGTTCTTCTAATTAGTGTCTACAGTGTGTGCCTATTGAGCTGTTTAGAGCCATGTGGGACAAAACCCGATCATGCCCTCCCTCTCACTGTCTAATTGAACGGTGACTGTAAANCCGTTTTTAGGATAAAATGACGTAGAAAAGATCGCTTTTGCCAGTTATTTGCTAAAGTAGCCGTTAGCCCGTTTTGCTAAGTGTTGATTTAGACTCTTGGTGTTGGACTTCTGTTCCGTGTAGATAAAATGGTTAATATCGTCTGTTAGCTGAATTTTCCCATTAAGTGGGTATGCACCATTAATAGGTTGTTAAATGTTAAGAAGCCTTGAGACGCAGTTTCTAGCAAGATGTTGCGTCTGCCCCTATGGTCTGCCCCCGGGAGTCTCACAATAATAAGAGCGCTGTTAAGAGAGATGACGAGTAGTATTCACATGGGATGAGGGTTCCCAACCAACCAGAATTGTTTTAACTAAGGAAGTAGCATAATTCATATATCAATAGCAGCACCGTTTGNCATTAATAGGTTGTTAAATGTTAAGAAGCCTTGAGACGCAGTTTCTAGCAAGATGTTGCGTCTGCCCCTATGGTCTGCCCCCGGGAGTCTCACAATAATAAGAGCGCTGTTAGGAGAGATGACGAGTAGTATTCACAGTGGCCAATCAGAGTGGTACTCAAACCGGATACGTCACATGGGATGTGGGTTCCCAACCAACCAGAATTGTTTAAACAAAGGTAGCAAAAGGTAAAAAAGTAGCGTAATTCAATAGCAGCACCGTTTGTCCAGCGGCTTAACAGTATACCAATACCGTCCAATCAGGTAATGGTACTGACTTAGTACCGGTTCTCGATACCCATCCCTAGTCCCCGGTGTTGGGGATCTCACACAGCGTCAGAAAATAAAACCCTTTCTCTTTCACACCGTACCCACACCTTTTAAAAACGGGGATACAACGAGCGGATAAAGATTTGCTGCCAATATTTCGTAATTTCGGATTTGTGGACCCACAGAGAGTTGCTATCAGAAACAATGCCTGAAGTGTTTTGGACGTAATATGGTATTTGTTTACATTAGCAAGCATCGCAAACACTCAGAACTAACCTGTACTGGAGAGCATGTGTGTTTAAAAAGCAGGAAATAAAAAAAGGAACTCACCTTGTGATAAACCCGCAAGAGAAAAAGCATTTGAGCTCCATACTGT